CTCCTGTTCTTCCTTCCATTTCCTGTGACCCCTCACCACTGCCTTCCTGAGGGGTGTGGTCAGAGTCTGGCAGTACACCCATCACCTCTGGCCTCTTTTTCTCGGCTCCTGGGCTCCAGCAGGGGCTTCTGAAGGCCCTCCCAGGAGCCACTGGATTCAGGAGCTGGCCTTGGGTCTAGAGAGTAGGTATAGGGTCTTCTGAGTGAAGCGGCTAAGTGTCCAGTTTTTCTTGTCGGGATCGGGCTCAGAATTGGGGAGATTTTTGTACGACATGAGTTTGGACTTGATCCTACAGAATCCATGGGTTCTCTTTCACCATCTCCCTTCTGCTCCCTTCCCCACCGTACTAACATACAAGGCTGGTTCTCCCTGGTGTCCTCTGACGATGTCTCCTGTAACATTCTCCCTGGACATGACCTTCCATAGGGAACCCTCTCTGGGTCTCAGGGCTGGAGGGGATTGGAGATTTTGTCTTCATGATTCAAAAAGGGGTGGTGTAAGGCCTGATGGAGTGGGAAGAGGGTCTGCCCCCAGAGACAGTGAAGCTCAGGGCTCTTGCACCCAGGCATCATCGATCCACTTGTGCACCCTTGCTCAGTGAGCTCGTGTGGAATGCAGGTAGCATGAACTTTGGCTTCCTTCCAGGTCTTCAGGGATGTTTGCAAGGAGAGCAAAGATTCCAGGAGCAGATTAAACTGAAGCTGTGACTGGAAATTCACATAAAGTAGCAAATATTTGAGATTCCTTTTACAAAATGAACATTAACGATAAAGTGATTCACAAGTGGAGCAGAAGATCTTGAGTTGTGAGAAAAATGCCATTTGACGCCACAGAAATTTTCAACTCACTCAGGCCTTTTCATGGCCTTTTCCCGTCCACTTGGGAAGAGCACACCCCTCCGTGCCCTTCCTCATCCTCCAGTGCACACATCATCACCTGACATGTTGCACATGTTGGGGTATACAGAGCTTTCCTTTTCTTCATCATTGTCCCATGAGAACAAAGCTGATTAGGAGAGCAGTTTGTTGCAGCATAGACTGTGGCCCCCAGCAGATGTGCACAGGTCACTTTGCTTGACCCTGACTGGAAACAGTGATGTACTTGGATGCAGGAGATGCCGATCCGGGTCTCAGGCCTGTTGATCCCCTTTGTGGGGGCCGTGTTTCACAATGCCCGGCGTACCTTTAAATCCCTTAAATCTCGGACTCCTCACCGTTTGGGCAAAATATCCTAATGTCTCCATTTGTGGATGAGGAAGCAAGGGGCTCAAAGGAGCCAGGGACCAGTGTACCCTCAAGGTGAATCAGCTACCACATTGAGAGGTGTGATGATGCCTCTTTGGGGTGCTCTGACCTTTCCTGATGCAGAGACAGATGGCAATAAGGAAGGGCCTGGCTTTGAAGTAGTAGGTGCTCTCTGGTGTGATAGAAACCACGGACTCTGGGAGGATGGGGCAAGCTATGTCCATCTCCAAGGGGTTGGCCGAGGCCAGAGGCGACTATGCATAGCCGTGGGAGGCTGCCGTGTGCTTGCTGCCCCTGCTCTCCTGCAGGTGCTCGCATGGTGTTGCCTGGCAGCTCCTGCCCTGGGCACAACCATGGAGTGCTCTGCCTGCCACGCCATGCTCGGACTATCTGTGGCTGCTGTTGCCATCTGTCCTCATGGCTCTCTAGGGCTGTCTGTCTGTTGCCACCCCCATCCCTCTCCCGAATGCCCACTGGAGCCCCGAGAAAAGACATCTTGGAGAAGGGGTGAGAACTTGAGTCTCAACAAAACGTAGCAGGTGACTTGTTGAGCTTTGCGTTCATGCACTATGTGGATGGACAGTGCCTTCCCCTGCCTTGTCTTCCATCCCTTTTTCTCACACAGAGCCTAGATTTTCCCCAATATCTCCAGGAAATCTTCTCGTCTGTGCCAGTGGCCTGAGCAGAGCACTTTGGGCTGGGCAATTGATAACTGTGTTATCACAGTCTTGGCCCCTCCAGACCCAAGTGAGCAGGTGCTTTAGAGGCCGGGCCCTTGGAAGCTCCCTCCCGTTCCTCTGCTTTATTGTCTTTACAAAGGATTACCCAGCACTGTAGACAAAGTCCCCTTTCCATCTCTGTGCTCATCTTCCCGAGGTGACTGGCTCATTTGAGAACCTGGGGCCCATGGGGCAGGGGTGGATGTCTCTTGGCCATCCTGTACCACTGAGATTCTCTTTCCCCAGCACAAGCAGGTGAGGGAGCTCTAGGCAAACTGTGTGCCCTCCAGGGTCACACCTCAAGGTCCACTCCTGCCTTCTTGCTGATCTGGACCACAGTCATCACCTCCTTGTGAGTACCAGACCTCCCACCCCATGGCTCCGACATCTAGCCCTCCAGCAGAGACAGTCTAGTCTCCAGCCACCCCGGTGGGAACTGAAGAGGCAGACAAGGGCTGGGTTGGGGCCACTGTCCTTAGAAGTAAGAGTGAGACCTGCCTCTCCACCAAAGGACTCAGCCCAGCCTACAGCAGATGGGCAGCCCTGGAGGGAGGGCGGCCAGCTCTCCCCAGGCTCCCCATGCCTCCTGCAAGTGCTCTCCTACTGCTGCTCTCATTCAACATGTCGTGTTCTTTTCTCTTCATCTGACCACTGAATCTGGCGATACGATGTGTCTAGGCCTGAGCTGCTTGCATATGTTAAAACACCAAAGTGGCAGGAAGCTGCTGTCAGGCTGCGTGCAGGCACCTGGTCTCCAAGCAGACAGAGGGTGGGAGACTGCCCAGGGCCACAAGCACCACCACATCGTAGACACCGTCCAGAGCCGTGCTCCCTGAAATGGATGTGCCAATAACTCAAGGTGCCTCTGGGCCAGGATGGAAGCATCCCTCCCAGGTAATCTGTGGAGTCCAGAGTTTATTGCTTCTTTTTGTGCTTGATTTTGAACCTCTTGGATGAGGGAGCAGTGCTAGATACCCTGGGATCTCTGGACTTGAGACCATTTGCGGATTTCATAAGTGGCTTCCGTGGTGTGGGCCGCAGGATCGCCAACACTTACCCTTCCTATGTCTGCAGGCACCAGGAGCAGCCCCAGAGGAGATGTTTGCCCCTCTGCCAGGTCCCAGGCATCAGGGGCTTTGCTAGCCATATGGAGAAGCAAAGGGCCCTTCAGAGGCTCTCGGTGAAGAAGCAGCCCTGCCCGGCCCTTGGACGGCTTGGCTGTGTCTTGCAAGAGGCGGTCAGTGTTAGAGGCCCATCCACAGTTGGTCTCCTGGCTCCACCTGGCAGCAAGGAGCTGCTTCTGAGAGTTTTTCTCTCTCTCCCTCCCTGTTGGGTGCAGGGCAGCCTAAAGCAGAGGGGTTTCTTTGATTTGCTGCATGAGAGGTGATTTGCAATGACAAGCTTTACTTTTGGAAGGTTTTCTGGTGGCCGATTGCTGCTCATACCATAGAGCAGTGATGTTTTGTTCGATCTCTCTTCGTATGCACTTTTCTTCAGGACCACAGCACGCCGGGGAGAGGTGGGTGGGGAGCAGCACCTGAAGTTGCAGGAGGCTGGTCTCCGCAGGTTAGAGAACAGCCTCTCTTCCCTACAGAACAATTTCATCAACCTCAGCTTTCTCCGCCTCTTCCGTGCTGCCCGGCTCATCAAGCTGCTGTGCCAAGGCTACACCGTCCGCATCCTGCTGTGGACCTTCGTCCAGTCCTTCAAGGTGAAGCCCAGGTACGGCCCTCGTGCCCTGACCCTCCCCTGTGTGATGCACAGTGCTGTGGCCACCACCTCCTCCTCGCCACCAGAGCAGCCCCTCCTCCGTGGAGGCTCCTTGTTGGCACCCGTTATCCTATTGTAGTTTACAAAGACATTTTAAGTGATCCAGAGAGCATCTTGATAATGCTCACTGACTCTGAGGTGGGTTCTATGACTGATTATAGACGAAGGAACTGAGGCGGTCTCTTGGTGGAGGGGCTTCACGGTCAGTGGGGGTGGATTTGCCATCACTGGGGTCTGGGTGGCCCCAGAGACCCGACCACCGTCCACTCTGCAGACGAGGCCCGAGCAAGGTAGCTGGGCAGCCCTCCCTGTAGCTGCCCTGTCCTCTGTATGTCTCCACAGGCCCTGCCCTACATATGTCTGCTCATCACCATGCTGTTCTTCATCTACGCCATCATCGGCATGCAGGTGGGGGCGCCTGATGGGACAGGGAGCAGAAGGGGGGGGGCCCTGTGCCCTGGGGCAGAAGGGCATTGATCATGGTCATCAAATGTTATCAATGACAGATTGGCACTTGGGGAACATTTCTATGTTTGAAGCACTTTGTGAACGTAATTCTCAGAAAGGTTGTTCTACCGATAAGGACACGGAGGCTGGGCACCACGGGTTTGGGCCAGTCACCCAGAGTCCACTAGTGAGGCGTAGCTCCACCGTCTGTGGGAAAATGCTCTGCTGTGCTCCTGAGTGGAACCCCATTGGGCTGTTAGGGTGTTGATGGGCATGTTTGATTGGGTGCCGGACCCCCATGTTGGTGGAGCTTTTGAGCACATCTGCCTGGTGCTGAGTGGCCTGCAAAGCACCCGCTGGTCATTCTGTTAGTCCAGAGAGTTGACCTGATCCTGTACAGGAAATTATATATTACAGAAGAAAAAATTCAACAGGATCACACCAGATCACTGTACTGTCAAGTTCAGCTTGGATAAGTTAATTTGCCTTTATTTTGCCAAAGAATCCTTTGTCACCTACTTGGAAAAATATTTAAAAGACAAAGCAGTGTTCCAGTTTTAAATCTTTGGAATCTGGCCACTTTTCAACAGTAGGATGGGAGATGGATCCAAATGTTAAATTATAGTGGGAGAAGCCATTGTCTTAAAGGTTAGCTGAAAAGTGATTTTTAAACTCTACTTCAGGGATTGAAAAGTTTGTCTTCCTTTAAAATTTGCTGAGATCTGATGCTATTTAAAAATATATATATATTTGTGCCTGCTTTGGTTTGGGAATTTATAAGACCAGAAGGGTCACTGATCTTTGTTTTTGGTGAATATGTGATAGTTCATAAATTTTTCAGCCAGATTCCAGATTTTAAGCCAAGTACACTTATTGACTTGTTTGCATTCCTAACCCTAAAAATAAATCAATTAAAATGGATAAAAAGCCCATTGTGATATTTGCACAGAAATTTAGAAAGAAACTTTCAAGTTGAACTCATAGCTATTACCAATAAAATTACTGCTTCAGAGTCATTGATGACAGGGTGAAATTTCAAATGCTTCCTGTCTTATATATAGCGCAGCCCATGTAAACGTAGCTCCGGGTGGCATTTTTACTCAGCATGCGGACTTGCAGGTGTAGACATGCGGAGCTGGGGGGTGGGGAGCAGTGACGTGTTTGGCTGGATGTGCTGGCGTCTCCAACCCCTGCCGCAGTGGTGGTGGCTAAGGGCAGCCTCCTGTGCCTTGTGGGTCCTCACCTGCACACATCCTCTTCTGCCTGGCCACAGCTCCTGAGGGCCCAACAGGACCAGCCTGCAGCCTTCTTTCTCATTTCAGATTTTTGGAAATATTGCCCTGGATGATGACACCAGCATCAACCGACACAACACCTTCAGGACGTTTTTGCAAGCTGTGATGCTGCTGTTCAGGTGTGTTGTTTGGGGAGTCAGTGCAGGCTCAGAGGCTCCTCTGTTCTGGAGGGACAGGGCATGTGCCGACCCAGAGGGCCACCCCCTCTGACCACAGCTCATGCTGGCTTCCCCTCATTGGGCCTTCCAAGCTTCTTCTCCCCTCTTCCTCCTTCCTTCCCTAAAGGTTCCTGGGCCTCGGGACAGATAGAAGGGAAGTCCATGAGGGAGGTCAACCTGAGAGCCCCAGGTAAGGCTGGCCTTGACCACCTCAGCTCAGATTCCTGGGGGTGGCCAGAAGGCCTCTGGTGAAGCTGCACTCAAGGGTCTGGGAGGACAGAAGGTGTCCAGCAAGGCCTTTTTTGGTGTGCTGGCCATAGGCTTTCCATCTGCTCACTTTGGTGACTGCAGGGTCTGTGGGATCGGGGCCGGGGGTGGGGGCAGGGCAGGGGGACACAGAGTGTGCTACTCAGGGACCCAAGGAACTCAACTGGCCAGAGTGAGTGCCTCCACCTGCCCCATGGCTCACAGGACTGCAATTCCCTAGGCTCCAGGCTCCAAGGCAGGCAGAGTAGCTTGTTTCTGGCTCAGGCGCCTCCCTGTGTGCTCGACAGGGCTGCATGTCAGCTTTTGCTCTGAGACGTGACACACTCCCTGTGGCCCATCCTGGTTTGGGGGTTGTGGGGAGGGGGTGAATGTATCTCACTGCCTCCAGGGTCCCCTTCATTAAGGCAAGCCCACCACATGACCCTAGGAGGAAAGAAAGGAGCTCTTTGTAGGGACTTGTGGAGGAGGGGTGCTGACATAAAACCGTGCCTGGGGCTCCTTCTTGAGGTGCCCACATGCGTGTTTGTTTATGCAGATGCACCAGGATGCAGTAAGGCCTGTGCTGGGAGATGCCCAGCACGGTTAATCCCAGGCAGATTCATTACAGGGCCCGTGGAGGTTCCTCTTTTTATGGAGGGAGATCAGACCGATCTGCTTAGCTAAGCTGCCTGGAGAGAGTTGTCTGACTCTTGTTTTTTTAATCAGATGGACAAGTATCCTTAGGCCTACACTTTCTCCAAATGACATCATTTCTCCTGACATTAGCTATTACGTTCATTTCATCTCTTCATTAATTAATGTCCTGCCTCGTGCTATAAGAGTTGAGGTAGGCCTATGAAACCAGCCTCAGTTTTAAGTCTTTGTTCTCAAAGATCTCTTTTCCTCCCTGGTCTCTGTGTCACGTATGAGCACCAGTATCAGTCAGGCTTGCATTGGACCACCGCCCTGCAGGAAAAGCCCCCTACTCCTAGCCATTGTTAATGGGAAGAGGGCTCCACTTGTGCAGAGAGCTGACCATGCAGGCACACCCAGTGTCAGGGGGTGGCCCAGGCCACTGGTCTGCCTACAAGTCTAGTGCACATCTGGCCTTCGTGCTGGCCGCACACCCAGGGACAAAATTCTATGAAGAAAGGTCCTCCAGGATGGCCACTCAGGCTGGTGGGGCTATTCTTGGTCAAAACATAGAAACAGAGAGTAAAAGAGTCGTTGCCAGGGACTAGAGATTTGGGGAAATAGGGAGAAGTTGGTAAAAGGGTACACACTTTCAGCTATAATATGAATAATATCTGAGGATGTAAAGTAAAACGTGACCATAGTTGACAATACTGTATTGTATAATTGAATTTTTCTGAGAGTAGAACGTAAGTGTTCTTCCAAAAAAAAAAAAAATAGGTGATGGATGTGTTAATTAGATGGTAGGAATGGTTTCACAATGTTTATGTATGTATATATACCACAATATGCACTTTAAGTATCTTATAATTATGTCAGTTATATATATCTTAATAAGGATGATACCGGGGCAGTATGGTATTCGCATAAGGACAGACCAGTGGAGTGGGATGGAGATTCCAGAAATAAATCCAAATATCTATGGACAATTGATTTTTGACAA